ATTTCCCCCCATGGTTTGTCCTGGGGGCGGTCCCTGTTGTCCCAAGTTCGCCGGACGTCAATCTCCAGGTCAGCCTGCCCCTTAGAGGAGAACGCCATGAGGTCAAGGGGCAAAAATGGTGGCTGCTGCGGGGGTAGGGGGCTGCCTTGGGGAGCTGGTGAATTGGCTCCCTTCTCCCCTATGGCCTGGTGTGGGAGTGGCCTCTCCTGCCCTAGGTCACCAGACACACCTGTCCCATTCAGCCTGCTGGGGGAGGGGCGCCCTAGGCGGTGCCTTTAAGGTGCGGGGGTGGCGACTGCAGAGGTAGAGGACCTGCAGCGCGGGGCCTGTCAATTTGCTCTCCTCTTCCCCGCGGCCAAACCTGGGGGCGTCCTCTGCTGCCCAAGAAGCCTGATGCCCGTCTCCAGGTCAGCTTGCTCCTGGGAGGCGGGCGCGATGCGGTCGAGGGACAGAGGCAGCTGCCACGGCCGGCAGCCCCGCCTAATGGGGCCACTTCTCCTCTCCCCTGACCTGGCCTGGGGACGGCCCCTCCCGCCCAAGTTTCGCCTGACACCCCACACCCGGTCAGGTTGCTCCTGGGAGGTGGGCTCGGTGAGATCAGGGGGTGGAGAGGAGAGGCGGGCTGCCCCTGGAGAACTGGAGGATAAGCTCCTATCTCTCTGGAGGCCTAACATGGGGGCGGCTTCTGCTGCCTCTCGTTCCCAGGTCACCCTTCTCCGGGTCATATTGCCCCGGGGGTGCGGTAGGGTGCGGGGGCGGCGGGGTGTTGGCGGGGGTATGGAGCCTGTTGCTTGGGAGCTGGTGGTTTAGCTCCCATCTCTTCCGCAGCTTGGCCTGGGGGCAGCCTCTGTTGCCCCAGGTCGCAAAGCACAGTTTCCCTGACAGCTTAGCCACCGGAGGTGGGCAGGATGTGCTGAGGGGTCGGAGGCAGCTGCCAAGGCAGCGACGAAGGGGGCTGTCCCTGGCCAGCTGGTCAATTTGTTCCCATCTCAACCTTTGCTCCCCCAGTTTCGCAGAACGCCCTTCTCCAGTTTATCCTTCTCCTGGGAGGTGGGCGCAGTGCATGCAGCCCAAGGTCTGGGTTCACCCCTGGGGAGGGGCAGAACTCTCTTGTTCTCCTTTGTCTTTATTATTCAGCCAAGTGGTTACTGGACGCAATTCTTAATCCTGAGAAAGTGTAGGCTGTGTCACGGAAGAGCTGCTGGATAGTGAGTTTTCTGGGTGGATTATCACATTAGCTGATGCCCCAGGCAGGCAGGAAATCTATTACTCAGAGCTTCTTAGTCTGGAGTTGGGGGATGGTTCCCCGCCATCCTCACTATGCTTTTTAAAAATGTGTTACTCCCCTGTTTTTCCTAGGTGACATTTTAGGTTATTGGGTCACAGATTGCTGGCACACTCATCCCTATTCTCAAACATCTTTTAAACTTGGGTGAAGTGATAAGTAGGAGAAGATGATTTACTGAAAGGTAAGAATACTTAAATTTGCATTAAAGCTTCATTCTGTCAATCTTTCTCAAGTGATTTTTCTCTGATTCTAAATCCACAACCTAGTGAATGTTGTACTCCTTTGTAAATCATTGATCCTCACATCACATTTGTTAAATGGTCAATGAGATTTGTTAATTAGATTATTCCTGAAAGGAAAAGCTCAGGCTTTTGAGAATTCCTTGTCTGATGTCACCCAGGCAGTCACAGTAGAAGACAGAGCTGATATAAAAATCCCTCAGCTGCCTGAACTGCAAAGCTTCTGGGATTACCGATCCCTGAAATGCAGGTGACCCTTGATGATAATCTGGGGGATGGTTTACATGATGAGATTCTTCCAGTCCTGTAAATGGGTTCCGTGGCCCCAGTCCCGGGAGAACTGGTCATAAGGGCCATATCGTGAAGGGTGGGATAGGAAGGCAAGGTGTAAGAGCTGGAATCACTGAGATTCCACACTCGCTAAACACAGACTCCAGAGCCTAATTGTTGTCAGGTTCTGTTCTGAATTTGAGACTGTGTTCATACATGATTCTTGTCCTTCAGGAGTCACTGCCTGGGTGGAAGTAACCTTTACATAGATCTGGGGAGGAGAGCAATTAAGTAGATGGGCTGTTATGTTTCTCAGTGTGCCCAGGCTCGCTCTTCCAGGCACTCGTGGGACTAACGAGACTCATGTTATTCACTCATTCACTGATTTAGTACCCTTGAATTGATCATTCGTCCCACAGTAAGTGAAACAAGGTATCAGGAAGCTGAGTTTTGTCCCCTCTCCTATCACTGATTGTATCTGTCAGTCAGGCGCCCTGCGTATGCATTGTGAAATGGTGGTATTTCGTGCCCAATGGGGCTGCACTGTGAGTTCTGAGAATCAGGGGAGACACGTGGGTGGGACAGCACCCTGAAACATATGCCCCCCCACCCCGTGAGACAGCATTGTCGATGCTCAGGTGACCCGATGTAGACCGTGGTGCTAAACCTGAGCATGTTTAGTGACCTTGGTGGCTATGAAAATACAGACTACCGGTCCCTACCTCTGGAGACTCTGAGAGTGTGCACCCCAGAATTCTGCATTTTAAGAAGCACTTTAACTAATTCTGATGAAGAGATCTGAGTGTCCCACTGAGAAACACTGGTGTGCGAGGCACCAATATTGAAGATTCTCAGGGACCGATGTCTTTTCAGGATGGTCCAAGGGCCCTCACTTGAGACTTTTGCCTTGGGTGTAATTGTATGTGTTCAGAAGTGATGTCTCTCACTTCCAGTGCTTGTCAGCATGGTCTGTGCAGGGATTTGCTCTCAGTAGATGGCAAAAACTATGATTCTTCAGGTCACCGAGCTAGAGTGTGAGCGATCTTTTTTTTGGGTTTCTTTATTGCAATGCAGAGTCTCCCGAGAACAGATTCAGACTGAACAGCTTTGTGTCAGACTTTGGAAGACCGCTGCTGCCCAAGGTGTTCTCTGGCAGGGCAATGACAAATCCAGGTCCCTCTTTCACTGCTACATCAATGAAGTGGACCACTTGGACAAGGCCAAAGCTGGTATTCCAACCATAGCCCTTTACAGTGATATTCGGCTCCAGGAAGCCGTCAGATGCAGCAGGTGGCCAGAGGAGGAGCCGAACAGGCTCATGAAATGTGACATCCCCAACTTCATCAACACGGACCAGAACTCTTCCTTTGGGGATGATGATCTCCTGATTTTGGAACCGCCGATTGTTCTAGAAAATAAGCCAGTTGCCCAGACC